ATTTACTTTTGTGTGTTTTTGTCAGGCAGAAATTTATTTATACCCCCTGAAGGTGTAAGAGGTTAAGTATATATATACAGGTAGGATTTTAGTAAATCAGTGGATTTTAATAAACTTTATCAAAGAATCGGGGCCCTAAAAATCCTGAGGTCCAGTCAGAACCTCCAGGTGTGCTCCTCACACATGTTTTTATTCTATTATTAAAATCTGGTCATTTTAAGAGACTTAAAGAACAAAAATATAACTGTGACTTTTGTTAATTTCTCCTGCAAAACATTTCAGACATTATAAACCTGATTTAATGTCATCTTTCTACTGAAGCTTCTGTCTAGAAATCACTAAAGACATTCAGTGTTATTTAAATGAGCTGCTTCTTATTTAGCTGAGACTCTGATAAAGTTCTATGCTGATGATGGAGTCTAATTTACACATTTCTATTATAACAGAAAACCTCATTAAACATCAAAACACTGATTCACTTTCCTCCTGATATACTCCCTGCTCTCCCTCCATCTCTCTCCTCACTGCTCCTGCTGCTCCTCCTCACTGCTCCTGCTGCTCCTCCTCACTGCTCTTCACTCCTCTTTCTGCTGCTCCTCCTCACTGCTCCTTCTGCTGCTCTTCCTCACTGATCTTCACTCCTCTTCCTGCTGCTCCTCCTCACTGATCTTCACTCCTCTTCCTGCTGCTCCTCCTCACTGCTCCTTCTGCTGCTCCTCCTCACTGCTCCTTACTGTTCCTCACTATTCATCCCTGCTCCTCCTGCTGCTCCTCCTACTGCTCCTCCTCTCTGCTCCTCCTACTGCTCATTCTCACTGCTCGTCCTGTTTCTCCTCCTCACTACTACTCCTCAATGCTCCTCAATGCTCCTCACTGCTCCTTCTGCTTCTCCTCCTCACTGCTCCTCCTGCTTCTCCTCCTCACTGCTCCTCCTGCTGCTCCTCCTCACCGCTCCTCCTGCTGCTCGGCCCAAGGAGGAGCTCCTGTGAGTCGCTTTTTAACTTCTCCCGTTTTCCTTCATAGAAATGAAAAAATCTGAACTTCGTGTTTTAATGATTTTTATTTTTCATTTAAAAACGAAATAAAACTGAATAATTTTCTGCTTCTCAGAATCACAGAATAAAATATTAAAACTATTAATAATTATAAATATTAAATAAATATTTATAATTTATATTTTTTATATATAAAAGACACATGATCGGTGCTTCACTAGTTAAAATGGTAATTTGTTAAAATAATGACATAAATTAATAAATTTAAAATGATGTTTCAGATCCCCCCCCCCATTAAGCTCCAAACTGAATAGAAATCTTCTACTTTTTTTTACTTGATTCGTGAATAAAATATGAATAATAAATATATAAATATATATAAAGAAAATCATTAAAATGTCAAAAACATATACAGTTGGTAAAGAGAGAATTTTAAATGAATCATTTATTAATTATTAGATGAAAACTAAATGAGAGACGGTTTGCTTTTATTTCCCTCTGGTGGACGGACTGAGTACTGCATGTCCTTATATGGTCACTGGCTGACTTCCACCGGGGCCTCCTTCTCCCGTAGGCCGTGGCCGGGGAAAGCTTCAGGGAATCGGGATGCAGTCTGTTCAACATGTCGGTCCGATGAGAACCTTCTGAAGGGCCGGTCCACTGCAGAGGTCATGATCGGAACCTTTAAGTGAACCGAACCGGAATATGGACTAACGGGAGCGGGAGTCCAGGGTGAGTGTCCGCGCGGCCGGAGGGTCCGAGAGTCCGGAGGAAGTTTGTGGAGCAGGAGCGGAAAGTTTAGCTGCTGCTAACCGCCTGCAGCTGCAGGAAAACGGCTCCAAACTCTGCAAACAGCCGCAGGTTTATCCAGGAAGCTGCAAATGGAACCGAATCGTTTGGGTCGCTTAGTTCAAATGTCAGATTTTACCCATAAACAATGAAAAATGTTTCTTTTAAACTTCTCAGTGTTTAAACTGATTTATAAAGCCCGATATTTAAATAATTTAAGCTGTTAATAAGCTGATGACAGTGATGCGTTCACGGACATTCGGTTTTCTCCTTTCTGTAGAGTTTAAACTTAAAGCATTTCACTCATGGCAGCTCTACCTAACCCCACATATGGTTGCATGTTTTCACACAGAATAGAAGAGAATAAAAACGGTCTACAGTAATAAACTCACTTTCTCGTTCTGTTTTGAAGTGAAAACATGGTCTGTGCAGTCAGTTCATCCAGATTACCATCCTGCCTTCAAAGATTATTTCTCTGTGGGAGCCGCTCAGACCCCCACACCGGGAATCCCCAGCAGCAGCTGCCTCAGGCCCCCTCAGGCTGCCTCAGGCCCCCTCAGGCTGCCTCAGGCCCC